GGGGTCACTGCACTGAGTGCTCCGATTACCACTGGGGCCACTGTTACATTTACCCTCGACATCTTCTTAAACTCTTCTCTGAGTCCTTGATACTTCTCCAACTTCTTGTGTTCCCTCTTCCTGATGTTGCTGTCATTCAGTATCGCCACATTTATCACTACAGCCAACTTCCTCTGTTTGTCTACCACCACTATGTCCGATTGGTTAGCTATCACCATTTTGTCCGTCTGTATGTCCACCCTTGGGGGCGTCTCCCATTTTGACCTTGGGACTTCCATGTATGCCCTGCCTGCTAGCATCTTGCACCCTGCTTTATGTGCTGGATTGTCTCAGGGGCATTTTTACACAGCCTGCACCTGGGGTCTTGCCTGGTGAGATAGACCCCAGCCTCTATGGATCTTGTGCTCAGAGCTTGTGCCTGTTCTTCCATGATTAGTGCCTCTGTGCTGTCTTTAAGTCCAGCTTTGTCCAGCCACTGGTTGGATTTCTGGATGTCAGCCACTTCCTCGATCTGCCGGTGATACATACCTTGCAGGGCCCTGTCCTTCCATGATGGTTCCTCCTCTTCCTCCTTTTTCTTGGGTTTCTGCAGCTTGAAGTATCCACTGCGCACACAGTCAGTCGTGGCCATCTTCCTGATGTATTCGTGGATGTTCGATGTCTCATCCTGGACTGTGGTTCTAGCACTCATTAGTCCCTGGCCTCCTTCCTTCTGCTTAGCGTACAGCCTCAGGGTCCTGGACTATAAACCATCCATGCATGGTCAGGAGCCTCCTTGGCTGCTGATAGAGATAGTGGCTTCTATCTCCTCCTTTGGCCAACTTATTATCCCTGCAGGGTATCTGATCACGGGCAGAGCGTAGGTGTTGATTGCCCGGATCTTGTTCTTTCCATTCAACTGACTCCTCAGGACTTGACTGATCCTCTTCAGGTACTTGGTAGTTGCAGCTTTCCTAGCGGCCTCTTCTTGGTTCCCATTTCCCTTAACAGCACGGTCACTTTGTTGGCCTACCACTGTGGTCCAGACAGGAACAATTTAAAATTACATTTCTATTCACATTTGTACAAATATTAATGATCCTCCAAAAATAAATCCGACTTGCCTTTCTGAAATGTTATGACTTTTTATAACCAGAACTTCAGTTGTTTTGTTTTTTTCTGCTTCTCAGTGAAATTCTCGATGTCTACTCAGCGGAGTGACTCCTAATTTTCTTCAGACGTTCATTATTTCGAAACAGTGAATCATGAGTCATTATGATTCACTGACTGGACACCATAAATGTCTATACAAAATTACATTCTTCCTTTTCTCTACCATGTTAATAGGCTATTTATGTTTTTGAGTTGAAAGTCCTAATATTGAACCGACTGTCATGAAATTACAGACAACTACAGGATACTTTGGGATACTTCTGTTTGTGACTACACCTGTAAATCCACTGTTGCTGCAGAGCCTCTGCACGCCTTCAGGAATAAATATAGAGGAGTAAACAGAATATATTTCCTGAATGAAAATGGAAACTAATATAGTTTCAGTCTGAGGGAAGCAGCAGACCTCAAACTCACCTCAACAGTTTCAATGTACTTTTCAGACCTTCTTTTGACTGTTTGCACGATTTAAAAGAAAAATCTCAGGAGACATTTGCTAGTTTAGCTGCCTTCATCCAGAATCCGCATCACTATATCAGATATTAAACTGAGCAAAGCTGTTTCTATGGAAACCTTCTTCCTCCCAGTCCACCTTCACCCTTAGCTCTTCTTTAGACCCCTCACTCCTCCGAGCTTTTCTCTAAGTCTTGCTCTCCTCCTCTTCTACCTAAATTATAGAGCAGGAGTCAGTGGAGGGGTGCTTCCTTTCAAAATCTCCTCCTTTGAATACAGATGTGGGTGTTGCATTTGCTCAGATGAGAAACAAGGAGGAGGACGGAGACATGTTGCTATTAGGAACAGCGACATAGAGATAAACAGAAGCTGGAGTCAAGGTTTCTTAAGTTAATAGACACAGTGAAAGCAATGAAACATTTCAAAGGCCAGTCTAAGAGGGCAAAGACTAAAACAAACAAAAAAAATAGGAAAAAAGAAAGTCCAATACACATAAAGTACACAAAAGCTTCACCAAAGGATTATTGCCACACAAGAGCAGGAAAAAGCACCAAGAAACTTGAATGCATTAGCATTAAATGGCAGGCACACATTAACATTCATAATTAGTTTGAATTAGACCACTGTGTAGGTCTGTTCCTTTAAGTATAATGTACTGTAATGCTAATATACACAGTATAAATCTAAACCACAAATAAACAAAGTAGAATGGTTTAAACAAGGGGTGACAATCTAACTTTATACATATGCTCCAGTTTGGTTGATTTAAGGGGGCCAGACCAGTAAACTGTTGCATAATGGCCTACCTTTCTTTTAATGTAAAGGAACACAAGTAAGCATCACATTTGGTAAGCTCACTATGTACTGTACAAAACTTTTGAGCCAAATCTATTTTTTATATTTTGGGAAATAGCTGCAGGCAAAACAGAGTTTGCACAAATTTAACAAGCTTGAAAGTCAATATTTGGTGTGACCACCTTTATTAGCCAACACAGTCTGAACTCTCTTAGGCAGCTTTCTTGTCATTTCTTTAAGAAGTCTTCAGGAATAGTTCTCTGGGTTACTTGAAGGACCTTGAATTTTATTCTTTGGATGTTGGCTGCATTTTTTTTGATCACTACATGATCACACACTGCATCAATAATTTTGAAGTCCAGGCTCTGGGGAGGCCAATCCATGACTTATGGTGTTCCATGACACAAGTTTGTTTTTTTTCTATCCATGTGTGTTTTTACTGCATTGGCAGTCTGTTTGAGATCAATGTCATGTTGAAATATAAAGCCACTACCAATTAATGCCAGTGCTAATAAATTTAGCGGTATTTTGTGACAGGATATTGCTTGTTTAAGTGCCTACAATTTAAAGATTATTTATTGGTTTATAGGGTATTTGCTAAGTTGTCTGTTGAACATGGGTTCATCTCTTGAGTTAGAAGCTATTTTACGATTTAACAAACAAAAAAGCATATCTCTAAATTGTCAGATACACGAGCTGGAGGTTGAGTGAAAACCAGTGTCCGAAGAAGAACTTTGAAAGACCTTCTGTCTATGTAGTAAACTTTAAAAAAAACAACAACAACAAAAACATTTAAACATTTAAAGACATTAAAATCTCTGTAAAATCTCTAGCCTTTGGAGGGCCAGTTCTAGTCCACTACCCACATGTTTAACAACTCAACTTTAAACCATTCAGTTGGTCTGATCCTTATAAGGTAGAAATACACTGGTATAAATATTTTTTCCCCATATTTCAAATAAAAACAAACCTCTAGTGGACTGCTGAAACTTATATACAGTTAATTTTTAATTTCTAAAGACAATAACAGCCCTTAGTCACAGCTGGTGTCATTTCTACTAGCTGACAGGAGCCATTGTCATGGAGCATTGATGGTTTTGAACTGGATGCAGTTCTAGTGCAGTAGTTATGTGTGGCGAGAGAAAGAGAGGAGACAGAGGCTTGCAGACAGGATGATCCGACATTCACACCGTCCAGCAGAAGATGACCAGGCAGACAGACTCTCTGGGGCAGACCGGGCTGTGTGTATGTATAAATAGCTATTAATCGGGCCTGGGTGTCAGATTAGTTCCCATAACCTTTTGCTCAGCACACACTTGTTATGGGAGTATGGGTCAGCTCTGTCCAGGGGATGTCCTTTGTGGCACATTTGCTTCTATCATTCAGCCGATGAACATTCATCAATGTGTTTATAAGACTGGAACTAATGGACTAATATAGGATACATTAAGTTTTCTTCCATTTCTCCTTTAATTTGCTCATTGAGAACTTTTACTTTCTTGTGTTTCAGATTTTTAAATATGTGCGTGAGGATAACTCTGACAACACAGCATCAGAAAAAACAACCAGCGCCTCTGTGCTGGATGCTTCTGGGGTATATAAAGAAGCTATGTACTTTTCGTTGGTGTCCGTCGCCCCCTCATTTCTCTGCACCACCACTGATGTACTCTAAGTAGGCTGGAAGCATTTCCTGAGTAATCTAAGGAGCTCTATATCACATGAAAATGAGAGGAGGATGTTGGGTAGCGTGATGTACGCAAGGCCAGAATTCAGCTTCAGTTTGTAGGTTGCGGTCAGAGGGAGGAGGTGGAGATTTTGTGGGATCATGTGGGATCAGAAACACGGGATGGTGAGAAACAGTGTGTCAGTGATTCAGTGATACAGCTTTCCTCAGAATTAGGAGGAAAGGGGGCCAGGGTGAGGAACTGTCAGAAAGCAGTGAACACACAAAGAGGGTGGAGAGTATTTTAAAACACTGATAAGTAAGAGTAAAATGCTTCAGGTCACTTTACAATCTAGTCCGGTTCTTTAGCCAAATAAAAAGAAAGCACAAACATTGCTTCTTTGTTGAACAGCCTAAAGCCCGGTGTCAAAGCTGCCCACTCATCTTCACTTCATGTTCATGAGACATATACAGTTCTGAAGCAGACAGACTCCTCATCTGCAAAAGGATGAACACCGTTGGCACAGACTTAAACAGCCCTGAAGTGCTTTACGCATCTCAGCGTTTCATAAGTTGGTAATTATTTGTTTTGTGTTGCATTGTGTGCCAAACTGAGCTGACATTTAGTTATGAGGCATTAGCCTTTTTCTTTTGTATCTGAATTTCTTTAGAAAACACAAAGAGAAAAACACAGTGCAACTCTAGAAGACCAAAAAATACATTTTTTATGTTTCCAAATTATTTGTTGCCAACTGTGGAACAGAAGTGGGAATCAGAGCTATTTTTACATTTGCTCACTCATTTTTTTATTGTTAAAAAATATCGTATAAAGTTTAGTAATCTTTTTTTTTCATCTTGAGTTTTATTGAAAGCTTTTATGGGGTTTTTGTGATATCAGTGGTACAGTCATGTGAAAACAAAAGCTTTGACAGGACTAGGTGAAAAACTAAGTGTACACTTGCTGCTTCTATAGGAATTAAGAGGTTAAGCAGCAACCAGGAGGTGCTAATCAAATCCACTTGATTCACTGATCATCCAAAAGTGGGAGTACCTCTGGAAAAGCAGAGGTTTTTGGGAGTTTGCTGAGCATTCAGGTGTGTTAACTTGCAACTATCTTTGCAGGAGTGGACATTCAACACGAAGTCAGACAATACAAGGTTAAGAGATGCTGCAGAAACCCACGAGCACCTCAAGCTCCACAGCCCTCAGTTAGCATGTTAAATGTTAAAGATCATCACAATGCAAAACACTAAAAAAAAAACTTGCTGCAAGGAGAAAGCTTCTTCTCTCTAAAAAGAACATGTCAGTACAGCTCAGGTTTGCACAGCAGCCTCTAAATGAGCCATGAGACTTCTGGAACAATGTCTTTTGGACAGACAACACCGAATTGGAGATGTTTTCCCACAAGGAACAGCACCATGTTTAATTAATATCAGCACAGACACCTCAAACCATCAAACACCGTGGTGGTGGTGGTGATAGAGGGGTGTTCATTTAGGCTTGTTTTTCATTCATAGCATCTGGGTGCCCTGGAGTCATGGAGTTGACCATAAACTTCTCAGAATATGTAATAAATATTGTCTAATGTGAAGCCATTTGTCCAATGCATGTATTTGTACACTAGCTTTTAAATGGGTAAGTCATATGATTTATTATTATAGATCCACTGGTGAAGTTAATAAAAGACAACGAGCAAAATAATGCAGTTTGTTTGGAAAACACATTTCAGACAACCAGGAAATTCATTCAAACAAATTAAAAGGAAAACCATTTTAAATAGCACCATTAAATACATTTAATTATCCTATAGAGAAGGCGTGGCTCATTAATTTCCCCCAAGGAAACACAATTATGGCCTAATTGGAGCATCTACTCTTACCAGCAGCACCTTATAAAGAGACAAAATTAGTCCTGAGCAACTAAACTGAGTTTAGTTTGTTGGAGCAGCCCTCCACAACAGTGCCAATTTCTCATTTGGGAATTTTAATTCCCCACCTATGCTTTAGAGCAGGAATATCAGAATGATTTTACAATGGGCTACATACAGCCTGGTTTGATCTTAAGTGGGCCAGATCAGCAAAACTCCCTTCCCTGCAAGTGTAAAGAAGTTTAACCAATCCATGAGATATCCTAATATAAGAAATACATTTTAACAATGCATCTCAGTTTTTCCCAGTGATAAAGAAATGCTGCTGAACTCACTGCCCAAAAGAACAAAAAACAAAAAGAAATCCCCGGAAAGTTGTACAGTAGATAATGAAAAAAACATGTACTTTTTTATATAATTGTTTATGTATTACTTAATTAATTACTGTGTTTTAGTATGAATGACCATGATGGAGGTTATTCAGTAGGGAAAGCTGTAACAGTTAATAACAGAGAGTAAGTCCCAAATTTGCCCTCCTTCACATTTTCCAAAGCTGGGCACCAGTGTCTAACACTCCTGCTCTCGAGGGACCATTTCCAATAACGAAACACCATATATATAGGTAGATAAGTAGTTTGTCGCCATCTGCTGTGAAATCAGTGCATTGCAGGATGTCTTCCATCAAGTTCGCCATAGAAAGTTAGTCATTACCGGGAAAAACCTTCAAAATAAAAATAGTTATGGATAGTGAAAGAGCTAATAATCCCCCAGAAGTCAGATGTCAGTGTGTTGAACTTAGTATTGGAAAGAAAAAAAATCAGTAAATGTACTAAAGAGTGTTTTCTGCAGTCATTAGGCTAAACTCTCAACGAGCATGCGCTTTAACCAGCACAAGGTTTTACTTTGAAAGTCCTAAGCCGGAAACAGATATATTTAGCTCTATATTGAATCCTTGACGGCGAAGAGCTGAGCTATCAGCCACGTCACCTCCTCGGAAGCGGTTTTCCCGTCTGTCCACGGCACACACACGGATCTGTGAGCGGAACCCACGGAGTCTGTGTCTAGCGTCACGCGCACAGAGAGTGAGCCGTCCGACCGTGACCGCGCAGCTTGTTGCCTCTCTGCCCACGCCAGCACAGCACCCCTTTGGCGTTTTGTGAGCAGTGACTGTCTCCTGAGGACGTGTAAGGCCCGTGAGGAGTTGCATTAAGTTTGTTTTGCTGGAGCATAAACACCATGAATATCTTCCGTCTGGCGGGTGACGTGTCACACTTGGTGGCTATCATCATCCTGTTGCTGAAGATATGGAGGTCCAAGTCGTGTGCTGGTAGGTTGACACTAGCAACACAGTGTGGGTGCTGTGCGATGATATCAGTGCATTTGGGCTGTTATGATTTTTCATCCGCGCTAAAGATGTATGCGTGTGGTTGTGGTGCACAGAAACAGCTGTGACACAGTGAAACTTCTCTTATCTGCTGTGTGCATTAAGGATGGCATTTGCATGGCGCTGATTGGTCTGCGCCAGTAGAAGCTACGTGGCAATGATAACAAAGTTATGAGCAGCCTGCTCGACCAATCATACAGCTTTGTTTAAAGTGAGAGAGCTGCACAGCTGAGTTGCAGAAGAAAGAAGAAAAAAAAGGAAACGTTTGACTTCTCTGTTTCATCCTCTCACTTTTAATGTCTCTCATTTTATTTCCATTACAGGCATCTCTGGGAAGTCTCAGGTGCTGTTTGCGATTGTCTTCACCACCAGGTATCTCGACCTGTTCACGGTCTACATTTCTGCTTACAACACGGTCATGAAGGTAAGTTTGTAGGTCACACCCACACACAGTCACACACACATTTCCCTGTCAGATTACCTTTAAGCTGAATGAGTCATTCATTTCTTGTACCAGCTGTGATCTCTGTGTTTTCACTAACACACATATATATATCTATATAGATAATAAACGCAAAGCAGGGATGTCAGCAAAATAAGCAAAAGCATCTTGTAGTGTTTCACAGTGTCTTCAATTAAGTTCACTTTTCCTGATCAGTGTTTGGCTCCGCCCTCAGGTGGTGTTCCTGGCTTTGTCCTATGCTACGGTGTACTTGATCTACATGCGCTTCAGGAACACGTACGACTCTGAGAACGACACTTTCCGCGTGGAGTTCCTGCTGGTCCCAGTCACCGGGCTGTCCTTCCTGGAGAACTATGCTTTTACCCCAATGGAGGTAAAGGTGTCTGTCAGAAATGTAGAGCTCCCTCAATTAAAAACAGCTTTAAAATTAACACGCGCCCCTTTGCCTCCAGATCCTGTGGACCTTCTCCATCTTTCTGGAAGCAGTGGCCATAATGCCACAGCTCTTCATGATCACCAAGACTGGCGAGGCGGAGTCCATCACCACCCACTACCTGTTCTTCCTCGGCCTCTACAGAGCCCTCTACATCGCCAACTGGGTGTGGCGCTATCACACGGAGGGCTTCTTCGACCAGATCGCGGTGGTGTCCGGCGTGGTGCAGACCATCTTCTACTGCGATTTCTTCTACCTCTACGTCACAAAAGGTGAGTAAGAACACGATCACTCGCTGCTACGCTACAGGGCCGAGTCTAGGTGTGATCCATTTACGTTGGCAGGACGCCACGCCAGAATTATGTTTGCGTAATCATCCGATATTTGCAGCGTTATTATTAGGTTTATCGGCCTTGCCTGTTTTACTGCACTTTCTGTTCTGCTGATATAAAACAGCATGCAGAAGTAATTTGCAATGAAACCTAGCACACAGCTATGCTCTGTGACTGAAAGAGCTTCTGCTCAGTTTGTTTACCTGTCGAGGGAGGATATGTATCCTTAATGTCAGCTGCTGTAGGTTGCTCTAAAGTGTTTGCTCACCTGCTAAACAAAGGAGTGGGGGAAGCTGAAAAACACTCCCTCACCCTCGCTATGTTCTCACTTTTTTCTTTCTCGTCCGCCTTCCTTCAGTGCTTCGGGGAAGAGGAAAGATGACCCTGCCGATGCCGGTTTAAAACGGACCCCTCCACCCTTCTGTGCCTGCCATGTATCGGTATCTGAGAGTAGATCCTTCAGCTGTATTTGTACTTAATGATGTAACTAATGGTCTGTGATTGTAGTTTAGACCATTTTTTTCTTTTTTCTTTTTGTCTGATCGGTTCTTTGGGTGTAAGTCTGTACGTTTGCAGGAGTTTACATGTTTTTTTTATTAGTCCATAAGATGCAGGTGCGACACTGGAAGTGTGTCCCTAATATGCAACAAGGCGAGTGAGCAACAGCAGTACAGAAACAGTATTTGTGGACGCTTGTGGGTTTTTTTTGTTTTTCTTTGGAAGCTGAGGGTGACTGTGACTCTGGAGGTGCTTGCATTTACATCCTGAACAATCAAGAGTATTTTGAGCACAAAAATGTAGCTGCAATTTTGTTTTGTACAGCACTCAGGTGGACTACACGTAGTTCTCTTTCAGTATAAATCCTTCACATTTCACAAAGTCTTTAAAAATATGGTAGTCTTTGTACATTTGTGCTCCCCGATCTTTTTACGGCGTGTTGTCCTCTTTCACTCTGTGCTGTTAGACACTCCCTGAATAGGTCACTGCGTTGTATGCAAACCATTTCCTTTCCTCACTGCCAGCTGCAATCTGATGAATTCCTTCGTCATCTTTTGTGTGTCAGTGCATTTGTACAGAAGAGAATAAAGGGCTAAAATATGTTGTCACTTGTTATATGAAGCCAAAGACGGATAAGGTAACTGCTGCAATGTTTTAAACAGTTCTTCTTATTTTTAAATCTTCCTGTGTTGTTACCTTAACCAAATCACGCCATTGTGTCGGGGGTGGAAATGATGGGAAAATTGTTTTTTAATGTATTGTATCTGTGTAGCGAACTAACCTATTTTTGACAAATACAAATGTGCGAAGTCATAATAAGATGAACTGGACTTTTTTTTGTGTGTGTGACTTTATTGTGTCGTGAGTTCGTATTTCACAGTATAGTCTAAGAGTGCGTGTGTGGTGCGATTGTGGTGTTTGAACAATGGAAACACAATCATAGTTAAGTGATGCATCTGTAGGTTCTCATTCATCCAGGTCATGGTGGTCTTGGGAGCTTGAGAAAATGGCAGCTGGGCTTTTTTAGGTCTTTGAAGATGCTTCGCCTCTCATCCAGGAGGCTTTTTCATCCCTAGAGCACCTGGTGGATGGTCTCGGGTTATAAACCCTTAGTAGGGATTTGACCCCTTCACTAGAGAAGCATCTTGGATGAGAAGCGAAATGTCTTCAAAACCTAAAGAAGTCCAGCTGGCCTTACATCAAGTGACTTGTCCTCACCACGCAGGCTTCGTTGTGTCCTGTCTCTTTGATTTACCTTTCAGCGCAGTAAAGTTTTTCTGTGTTTGTATAGCACCTTGCTTCCTTCTCTCACGGCCCCTCCCACTGCTTTCGCAGCCGACCTGACAGAGAGCGGAGACGCAGCCAGAGCTGCCACTTTCTCCACCACCTTCGCCTTCTTCACAGCTTTCCCTTTCCCCTTGTCCTTTCCCATGATCCCTGCCCCCTCCGCGGCACCTTTCCCCAGGGCGGTCACCAGCTCGCACCAGAAAAGCTTCTCCGCTCTCTTCCGGGCCTCCTCTTCCTCCCTTCTCCTCTCCTCATCCTCCCACTTCTTTTCCAATCTTGGCAGCCGCCCCTCTGTGACCTCAGCCTCTGTCTGAATAGACTCCACCACGTGCCCAGCTTCACCCAGAATCCTCTCATGTGCCTCCCTTATGGCACCTTCAGCCTCCTTCAGCATCTCATCGCTGTAGCAACTGCCTCCATTCTTAGCCACAATTTGGTCAACCTTCTCCAAAAGTTGCATGACTTGTTGTGAGCATTCATCTGTTTCCTCCTGCCTGCTGTTATCAAAGACGTGATATCCTCCATGGCAGCTGCTGACAAACTCAGACAGCTCCTGGCTCTCCTCTAGAAAGTCCTCGATGCGTTTCCCCTTCAGCTGGTCACCACAGGTGAACAGCACCATCGTAAACCTCATTACTTCAGGCCCAAATCTAGCTTTGATCCACTCAAAAGCCTCCCTCTCCTCATGGGTGAACCTGCCGAGCTGCAGTGTCACCAAGAAGGCGTGGGGTCCCGGAGAAGAGAAACCAACACACTGTCCCACCTCTGCCATAACCTCTTGAGAAGACAGATGTGTGTGGAAGAGCCCGGGAGTGTCAATGACGGAGATACTCCGCCTTCCCACTATCCCGCTCTGTTTCTTGCATTGTGCGGTTACAGAACAGGGGGACACGTCCACCAGGAACGCAGACCTTCCCAGGATGGTGTTGCCAGAGGAGCTTCTGCCTGTCCCGGTCCGGCCCAGCAGAACGATCCTCAGAGATTCAGCCTCTGATGTGGGGGCTGATGCTTCACTGACTGCCAAACAGAGAGTCATGTGTGTGTCATAATTACCTTTGACATTAATATAATGCATGCACATCCAGGCAACATATATAATATTAAATCATGTAGGCACATTTACATTTCAAAGGGTAAGTGATTTGATCGTTCACAGCTTGCTAATCCAAAGTAATGCAACACAAGTGTAATGGGCATACCTTCATGTGACGCAGCACTTTCAGATGACGACATTCTGATGGAGAAACTGTAGTGAAGCCTTCAGTATTTTCTGAGAATGATTTTTAAAAAATTGCTGAAATCCTGGAGATAGACGGAGACTGGCTGTGTCTGAGATACGCTCGTGTTTCTAGATCATTTGACCGCAGAGTGCTTCAATGCAGCTGCAATCTGTGGTGGAGCAGAGAGGCGCTGCTTGCACACTGCCACCCTGAGTGTAACCAAACCCACAAAAATTATAACACGAGGGATACGTGTTAGCTTGCAGTGAAAACCGATTGCAGAAAAGTGTTATTAACGGAGCTCTGTGGCAACACGAGTGAGAAATAATAATTCGATCTTTTGACATAAATTCAATTCTGTTGTTCCAAACTGTGACCACTAGATGGCAGTGAATCGTCACATAATGAACGCATCAACGTCAACTTCACCAAAAAGACAGAGAAATAATATTTTCGGATATTAACAATTATTAGAATATCCTAACGTAACGAAACTAACAAAAAGAAGATACCTTTGCCCAACTGTTTCTTCTGTGTTCACACTAGTTAAATATTCTCAGCAGAGTTTGTGGATAAATCATGAAGAGCAATGGCTGGAGGCTGGATCAGTTCTTCAGTTCAGGGCTAATGGTGTTTCAAGTTATCCTCACCAGT